TTTGTTTCTTTTTTTTCTTTCTTTCTTTTTTTCTATCTATTATATATATTCCAGATTCTCACTAGAGCAGTGCAATATATGATTCATTTTTTTCTTATTTGCAAGGAATGATTTAGCCCTTGTAGGGTATCAATGGTGTGTAGACACAGCAGAGAACAATATTGACCAGGCAGATGAGGCCGATGATAACAGGTAGACTAAGAGTATTCTCTACTTTCGCATACCCTTAATACTTTGCAGATTTGGGGCCGGTAACCAGCAATAAAAACACTTATCGTAGTGAAATAGTAAAATACCTCGTTTGATATCAAATTATAATATTATGGGTAACATGGGTGGTGTACGTGTCGACTGTGGTTCCAAAGGTCCGTGTCACTGGTTCGAGCCCTGCGGACACCTTAATAATGAATTGAGTTTGTATGTGTTCATTGTTCTCTTCTATGCTTCTGGGTTAGTGTGTGACATTAGTTTCGGTCCCAGACCCTCTCCACTGAGTATCTTGGACCGAAACTAATTGGACCAAAGGATTGTATACTAGGATTGTATGTGTTTCATATTTCTTTATCACTACAGCAAGGCTCTTCTAGGGCTATGTCTAGATGGTCTGGGCATGTTTTATCTTTCTCATGGAGAGCCTGAAAAGGCTGCGGAAACCTTGGAAAAAGCCTTAGAAGTTGCAGAGGAGGTACTTGGACAAGAAGATGACCAGGTATTAGTGGTAAACTGTTGCCAATACACCAATATCACATTTGATGCATACCACTGTTTTTATACCACAGGTCTAGCCTCGTTCATAAGTCAATCAGTCAAATCAATCAATCAATCATTTAATCATTATTCCATTCAAGAGGTTAAATGTTGGGAAAATTGAGTATGAAGAGGAATATATTTATGATAATTACAATACATTTATAATACAATGGATATGAATTTAGTGTAAAATATTTTTCTCAAGGATAGTTGGCAGCTCAAAAGAGAAACCGAAGACTCAACACGCATCACTGTCAGCTATTCACAGTATTCAGCTATTCTTAAAATACTAGTCTGAGGAGAAATTTCTACCGGTGCAAAGAAGAATCTTTATTGGACAGAAAAATGCAAAAATATCGACATCAACCATATTTTCAAAGAAGACAAACAGAAACAATAATCAAGGGAATGACACGTCGTCTAAAATAGAGAATATTAGACCCAAGCCCAATGGACCTAATCCACTTGGGCGTAATATTTTCCAATTTCATACCTCGTGACCTTCTCTCGAGAATACGAATCATTGTTTAGTTGTATTTTCATGCGTTTTCTCATGCGCAACCGTTAAACAAAGAAACGATACTCTCATATTCTACTTCAAAGGTACTTGTGATAATGAGCAATCTTGCCAAAGCGTATGCGGAATCTCAGCGATACGAAGAGGCTGAGACACTGGCCATGAAGTCCATCAAACTGGCCGACCAAACAGAAAGTTCTTTTAAGGCATTTGTCTTGGCTAATTTAGGACTTATTTACCTTGAGGGAGGTAAGTAAATTAATGTCAACTCCACCGGCCCTGATAATAACCGGAAGAGCCTTACTACCATATAGGTTCTCCCATTTAGTAACACGCTGTTTCCATGATGGTGTCAATCTTTTACATTAATAGAATGCATAGCGATTTCAAATTATTCTAACTTTTATCGCCTGTTTAAAAAAGTAAGAAACCATGCAAACGATAGACCCATGCAGCAATTCACAGTGGTTCAATTTAGATAACAAAACAATGGATTGAATTGTCATGCATGACATCAACATTCTGACTTTTTTGTTCTCTAAGTTGGCTGCTCTATGAAATGTTTCCATTGTTTGGTTTCACATGACGCCATTTCGTGTGTCGTGCGGAATGCTCATCAGCTGAATCACAACTTTTCAAGAGAATTATTATACGCTTACAGCACTTGGCGGTCAGCCATTTGGAGCAAATGATATGATTCAAAGACTTTTACCAGTTGATTGAAACTCAGCAATTCTGACAGTAGAAGTAAATGTCGCTGGGCAACAAATGGAGTCTCGTGCGACAACCACACGTTTCTGTTACCAATTCTCGTAACCAGACCCTTAGCGAAAAATAAAAATTTTCGCTTGAAAGCTGAAAAGGGTGTGGGTACGAGAATGATCCGTTACTTATCATATTGATCATAAAAACTCAGTTTGCTCGCTTTTGATTTAGCCGATCATTTTAGATGTTTTTGTTTTCTGACAGGTAAAGTCAAGCGAGCAAAGAAAGCAATGATCAAAGCCTTTAGAATGGCAGACGAGTCAGACGATGATGTAGTTAAAGACATGATTAAAGACAGTACAATGAAACTGGATATTAATGTATGATGCAGAGCTATTTCTGGTCCTTTTTTCACGTGCTTAGCAGCTCAAGGAAATGGAAAATAGAATGAAAATGGAAGGGAAAGAAAGGGAAGAGGAGTAAACGCCTCCCCTTGACCATTCCCCTAAGCCATTAAGCAGGTGACTATACAGTTAATATTTAAGAATCTTTGGTTTTGTTTAACTATACATTTTTAAAAGACAAATTAAAATTTGTTCCTTAGAAGTTTATTGATTTAGCTAGAAATAAAGGTATTAGGTATTTATACATTATGCAATCTGCATTACGATCTTAAATCTGAAGGTGGCAGACGTTGCTGCCCAAACATGTCATCCAAACTAAAAAGTGTCGTGTTCGTTATAAAAATGAAAAAAACTTGATGATGTAGCTTATTCTGGTTTTAAATAAAACTGCAGACAGCATTCTACTTGGTCCTTTTTATTCCAGGTTGGACAAGCAGCAAGAAATATTACTGTTTGTATAATGCAAACAATAAACTAAAAAATGAATTAAAATAGTTGTAAAACTCGAGAAATACTAAGTGCAAGACATTCCTATCTATGGATCATATCTACACACACACATATATATATATATTCCCCGTTGCTTTTATCGTATTCACTTTAGTGGGGATATATCAATTAACAATATATTTAACTTATTTTACATTATATTACATTGCGAGGACAGCGGGGCGCCCTAAAATGTGGTGGTTTAGATTGGAAAATATAGTGAATGTTAGCAAGAAGTGTAGGCACGGTGTCCCCCCCTAACCTTCACTCTCTGCTATCCATGTACACTATCTCAAAGAATTGTGGACACTTATACGAATTTCAGCAATTCCACAAGTATCCCTAAGTGGCCGTATTGTAGCCATATAAATCTAAGTTGCGGAATACATATTGCGTAATACAATTATCTTTGCTATCGTAACCTAAAAGAGTAAATGGTTCACCTTCTTTTCTTGGCACCACATGGAATTTTATTGCACCGCATTTATATGGAATGAAGAACCTGTGAACAACCTCATTCGTTTCGATGTTAATAATTGAGAGAAGACTGGCGAAATTAGACACGGCTGAAGCACAATAACAATTTTCTGGATGCCAGAGGAATTTTGGATCAAAGAAGCTTGATTCATAGACGAATACATAGCTCTTGCTAATGAACAAAATACGAACGTAGTGTGATCTACCAAGAAACACGCGTTTGTACTGCGAGCCATCCGACGCCTTGTGGATGAAGATGGAACTGCCAACATGATATGCGATGAGTTGACCATCTTGTGAAAAACAAACAGGGTTGCCAATCTCAGGAACTAGGTCGGTATTGCCACATTCACAAACTTTTTCATTAATATGAGAGATGGGAAGCTTTAGGTTAGAGTTTTGGGCGTGATGTAAATAAAGAGTCTGTTGAAAAACGTACGGCCTARCGTTTAAAAAACCTCCGTTTACCGGTACGCTGCATTTGCGAAGCCAAATGTTGTATTCAGTGATGTGGTCTTCTTCATCACATATACTGTTTCCTATTAGCATTTGACCATATCTACACGTAGCCTCGATTTTATATCCTTCCTCAATAGGAATACGATAACAAGTTTGACCTGTTTTGCCTTCGATGACATGGATTTCACCGTTAGAACAGTTGGCTAAAATGTACCATGGCTGTTCACCACACACGTGACATGAGTTAATTTGGTAAGGAAAGTTGAAACGAGTTACCAGATTTAGGGTTCTCGAGTCTCTTATTTCGATGTCTCCTTCTTTTGATACTTCAGTAGCGATGACGAACCGATGGTCCGGAGATGGGCAAATGTGTTTTTTTCCAGGAAGTTGTTTCTGTGCCAACAATGATCCATTCATTTCATGCCCTTGCAGAAAAAGGCTGCCATCATAGTCGTAGGCCAATAGTACAAAATCTTTGTCACATACAGTAACGGAAGGGCAAACACTTGTCGTTTGGTGTGGGCTATCCTGATGCAGTCTTAACTCAATGACGCTTCGCTTCGTCTCGTAATACGAGAAATTGTGCCTTCTCAAAAGGAGCAATACGTCGGAATCTATTTCTTTTGTACCTATCGCTAAATCAGCACTTAAAAGAAACTCAACACAGCGACCAAAGCTCGAAGGATAACGAAAGGGGCAAGTATTACTGTGGACTCTTGGTTCAAATAAGAAGAATGACAATTTCAATTTACACTCATTTAAATCATTACTAGATGTGTCAATTAAATAGTACAAAGATTTTATCAGATCAGTACAAATCAACGCACTCAAGACAAAATGATTTCTTAGCATTTCATCTACTTTGTCTTTAAGCGAACTACTCTTCAAGTAATCCCATCCTGAACTCAATGCATATTTCTCAATGTCTGTCAGACCCAAAGGTTTATCCAATTCCTTTTTCCCACTTTGTATGTCATCCAAGGCATCATAACACTGTCTGGCAAGCACTTCAATCCCGTCTTCTACACGAACACTGAACTCGTGTTCTCTGTCCCCTTCAAGAACTAACCAATCAGCAATTGTCTTATGAAATATAGAGACGTGATCATACTCTAGTGGAAACAACGAATGAAGTAATTTCAAGGCATCTTTTCTTGTTTTTCTTTCTTGGCGAGGGACATCACGCTCACTTTTAAGGCCTAGAATACTGTATATCATGCCCACTGGGATTGGATTCTTCGATGAGGTAATGGCTCCGAGCATCTTGAAAAAGCTTTCTTCTTCAGATATAAAGGGCAATATTTCAGCTTTCAGTCGTTGGAAATACTTTTCATACACGGAAGAGATTCCTTCAGGAAAAAGATCCAAGACATATGATGGCGAGGTAATGTTTTCTTTCTGCATATAATCAACGACAAAGAAAGCTACTAAAAATAAACCACCGGACATTTTAACCAGCTCCGTTATAATTGAATAATGCTCTGAAAACTTGGCTTTGTAAAAGTTTTCAATGTCAATTTCATTCTCTTCACAATTTGGGTCGACAACGATTCGATTCATCGGCACGTTATTCAGTATTGGAGATGGTCTGGTGGTGATGACAAATCTAAGCCACGATGGAAGAAGAGACAGTTTGTCTCTCAAAATCGCTTGTAATTCATACTTCAGATGACTGCAGCATTCGTCTATTGCATCCAATACGACAACAAACTTGTTACTTGTTGCAAGATCTTCTAATGTGACATTGCGCAAAGGTTCCTCAAATAGCACAGTAAATAGTTCTTCACAATTTTTATCTGTCAAGTCTCTTCCCAAACTTGTTTGAAGTTTTTCCTCTAGAGCCTCTTTATAACCAGGAACAGAGTCGCAAATCTGACTTGCAATGGACTGTAACATCAGCCTTGGATTGTTTCTTGTAGAATTACTGAACTGAAAGAAATGACAGCCCCCAAGACGTCCAAGGCCTTTGTAAATGTCACAAATTTTACCAGCTAGAGTTGATTTTCCCAGGCCTGGCCCGGCTTCGATGATCATAACCCTAGATCCAGTTTCGTCATTGTTAACATGGCAATTGACCCGATCTAGAATCCATTGGCGGGTGTTCGATTGGAAGGACTTGCACAGTGACTCAATCAAACTTCTGAACTCATCCTTGGCGAGTTTGGCAATGTTTAGGCTTGAACTTCTTTGAGTGTTCTTGAACATATTACTCAGTTCACTAAGATCATCTTTAATAACTGGAATTAAAGCTGCGTTGGACTTGATGTGTGCAGTATCTGACTTGATGCCTTCCGCGTGTGACTTGATGTGTGTGGTATCTGACTTGATATTCGTAGTAGTTACCCCCAATCCCACTAGCCGTGATGTAATGTCCTCATCAGATACATACCAATCATAAAGTAACTGATTGTAGTCCTTCTCTCCTAACCGAGCAGACTTCAATTCATCAATGTTGTCTTGACTCAGTCCCAGCGACAGAAGGGCAGATGAAGTATCTTGCCAATATTGTTCGAAGTCAGCATCATTAGTTTCAGTGGTTGGTTTGTGTGCTATTGCATTTCTATAACACTTCATTCTGACAAGGTTAGCCTCTTGTGAGTTGTCTGTTTCGTGAGGCGGCTTATTCCAATCACGTTTTCGCTTCCCAGTAGGTGTAATTTCGTATACTGGCGCCGAAAGCCCACAGATATTTCTTAGGAGAACGAAAAGCAAAGTGATATCAAAGTCTTGAGATTTAGGGTCGCTTCCACTTGGTGGGTACATTTTGTCCCATTGGTCATTATTCAGTACTTTTCCTCTTGGTTTCTTCAGCTTTTGTAGAGTTGTTTTGCTGGCATTTAAGAAGACTTTCAATGTAGTATGATATTTAACTTGATGACCATCAAATACTAAACGAAATGCCTGTGTGCCTCCATCGATTAGCAACCTAGATAGTTTCGTGTAGTTTATTTTGGCATCATTTTCGTGGCTCCAGGAAGAACACCCTGCCATCATTTACAATTTATTCTAGGTACCAAGGCAGTGTTCATTCACATGTTTTACCTAGAAAATTAATTTAAAAAAAAAAAAAAAAAATCCATAAGCATACAATTTTGAATTGGAAAAAAAAGAATATACATAAAGAGTTTGTGCAGGAATTTTTTAACTAGGCTCCAGCCTTTGAAACTGTAATGTATTTTAGTAATGACAAGTTAACGACAAGCTAATTCAACAATTATATAAATATGTATAAAATAGAAAAAGGAAATAGTAAAGAAGAAAAGACACGGAAAAAATATTAAAACATTAGTTGGAGAAAATATACTCGATCTGTAGCTTGATTACTGGACTTTTTAATCTGCCAAGCCATAAACAACGGAACCAAATGTGACAGTTCAAATATCTTATCCTAATTTATTCGTTAAAATAATTTCTTTATTCTTACAAAGCATCTGATATAGTGCGGGGGAAAAATGAAAAAAAGCGCAGAATGTACGGAAATTTAAATTAGCATAAATCAAGCGTCGCATGCGCATGCCTTTGGCAAACTTGTAAAAACCAGCCCTATTACTATTGTTTGATCTCTGGTTTGTTTTCCAATGGTTTTTGAATTCAGCATTGATATTAACAGGGGAGAGCGGGGGCTGAATTCAAAACAGGTTTTCCATCGAAATTCACTGATTCATTTCATCTACCTTCACTCAGTTGTAGAATCATTAATAGTCCAACCCTCTGCAGAGAAACAGGTCCATAAAAAATATGAATTATGGCACCTGTTAACCACATTTTGTCTAGACCGATTTGCATACTTTAACCCAGTAGAGTCTAAGAAATTGAAGCCAAGCGAACAGTCGTCGTGGAATTCAAGGGTTTAATACTTCCCCATGGTTGCGAATCAGACTCTGTGAAGCCTTGAAGCTCTTAATCATGGATTTTCACAAGCACACACACGCTTTCTGAAACTACGCAAAGTTACTTTACTCTGGGGACTTGAGAAATAAGCGTCTTGCATAGAGGCAAACAAACACACTTCTATATCTTAGCTGTTTTGTTGTAGAATGTCTGTTAATGAATTTATGGCGGGCGAAGAATTGCTACTGGATATAATCTTGATATAGGCTTGGATCCATTCGGTTGTTATCGTACTTTTGATATTGAACTGGAGCCGAAACGTATGGTTTTGGCTGCCGTCAAATTTGACGAGGTTGAATAATTATGAAAAGCGCTGTAACATATTGAAGTATAAACCTTTATTCATAACACACAACACTCAAATGAGGATTTTACCACAAATCGTTAAGTTCTCGCGCGCGGATTGCCTATATTTTTTTAGGATCGATAAAAGGACAGACCAAAAAGCTAACGTCAACGAGCGCTCGCTTTTTCCGTTGGTCGTTTTGATCGCAAAAAACGTCGAAAAAATGCGTGTTAGTGAACGTTGTGTGGTGAAAAAACAAATCGAGTTCCCTTTTCTATGGTCTGTACTCTTATCGAACATGGAATGGCGTCAGCATATGATCCAAAACTTTGCAGTGAAACCACTCATTGCGCTCGTGGTTTCACTTGAGTTTGAATCATAAGCTGACGTTACCAAGAAATCGAAAGTAAACTTCCACCGAGGAACGAGCACTGACTTTGTACCGACGAATATCAATGTTTCTTGTACCTACATGAAAAATATTCGACGTTTATACTTAGGATAATTATTATATTATTAGATATAAGTATAAATATACATGCCAGGATATTTGATGAAGGGAATTTCGTCATTTATTACCGTCCTCTTCGTTCTTTCTTGTTCATATCCCAGCTACGTTGAACTTAGTCCAGGCGCTGGCCCCTCATTTATTCTGGACTACGTTGAACTAGCTTGCGTGCATACGATCTATACCCCCGGCAACGTTCCCAGATATATCTATTTAATTGTAGCTAAATTGTGATTCGTTAATCCCTAGTAGCATTCTTACGCGTCCTCTCATTGGGTACTTAGCGTTACTCGAACCAGGCTATAGTAATTTAGAAATCTGTCGCTGATTCGCAGAGGAACCTTACCGACAGTTTGTGTTCGGATTCATACACCAAACTCGAGACTAGAGTGTTCTGGCTTTTTGGTCAGCGGGCTGGCGCCGGTAAGAATCTGTGGGAATCGATTTTTTTTACCCCAGATTTTTTCTGAGGTTCCGGTTTGTGGAAGTCCGCTAAATATGTTATTGCAGGCTCATTTTTATGTTCATCTGATATATTTTAGACATGCATTCTGGTGTGATATATGTTATTAATGAATTCTGGTCTGAAGAATTGTAATAATCAGTGGCGCATCTAGGGGTAGTGCGAAGAGGTCCGCTCTACCAGGCCGGGTTTTTTTACCGTCTTTTTTTTCCTTAGTAAGGTTTGAAATTTTGGATATCAAAAAAAATATCTTCTATAGATTTGAATTAAAAAGATTAAAGAAGTTTTGGGTTGTGTCGGTTGTTATGGCTCGTTTTTGGCATCGTACTGGTAATTTGCGAAGCTCAACTTTTCCAAACAGAGGACATCGCCATTCCCCGACCAACTGCATGGACTATCTGTGTCGAAGTGCACGCAAGCGCAGTCTAGGTCTTGTCAGCACTCATTTAGTAAAAGCAAAGAAGTGGAAAATCTGGAACCCGTTTTGAAAAATCCTGGATCCGCCACTGATAATAGGGACCTTGGATTTGCAAAATCTACGACGGCCACGTCAACCGTTCATTGGAGATTTCATTGAAAACATTGTGAGTAAAACTAAACTCATCCACACTTTGAAGTCTCGAAACCCTAAAGTGAAATTACTAACACTTCTGGTTGACGTCGCTGTCGTAGATTTTGCAAATATTAAAGTCCCTAATAACGAACACTAGCATTGTATGTGTTTCATATTTCTTTATCACTACAGCAAGGCTCTTCTAGGGCTATGTCTAGATGGTCTGGGCATGTTTTATCTTTCTCATGGAGAGCCTGAAAAGGCTGTAGAAACCTTAGAAGTTGCAGAGGTGCTTGAACCAGAAGATGACCACTTTAGACGTCGTAGAGAAGCGTAGATAAATGCTACCTGATATTTTATCCTAGGGGGCGCGGAATGACTGGGCGCTAATTTTCCCCCTTTCCCATAATAGTCTCTTATATTTTCTAATCTTTTAACGTAGAAAAAGGCGTGACAAGTCGATGCATTAATTCTTCTAACATTACAATAACATACAAATTTCGCGCGCGCTGATTGGCTATTTTTTATCATCAATAAGAGGATAACTGATCTACATTTGTTAAATCAGAAGATTAAATTTGTAGAAGATTTGTAACACATGATGATGAAGACGAATATTACTTAATATATTACTATTTAGCAGTCATAATGGGATAGTCTGGAGTATATTTCTCTCTGTTTTTCTTACTACACAAATATATATTATAGAATGGATATACTTTTTTGACGCTTGATCTCAGTCCTCTTGTTAAATCATGCCATGGATCGAATGATTAAAATCAAATTTTCCTATCTATGGGCTATATAAACTGAACCCTCAAACACAGGAAGCCCAAATATAACAGTAATGATGAAAAGGTAAATTATACACCGTGAAAAAGATGAAAAAACTTACTGACGTTTCGGACGCTAGTCCTTCGTCGGAGTAAAAGAGAAGCCCAAATATAGTATTGTGTCAAAATTTAGAAAATGAGACTGTTCTCGTTCCCAGATCAAAGTGGAAGACAACCCGCGCTGGCTGGCAATGGCGCAGGCTCAGGAACGAGAATAAAAATGAGAAGAAATTTTTATCATGGTTGTATAATAAGCCAGTTCATAGTTTAAGAATCGTTTTTAGTGCGAATTTATCGTGAATTTCTCATCTTCTCTCGTTTATACCTTTTCTTTTTCTTAGGCCCCGTCCACACGTATCCGCAAATTTTTGCATCCGCAAATTTTTATTTTTTTGAATTTCTATCCTTTTAAAAAGTGAGAAATTTAGGTAGAAATAATCGCATGCGCACTGAAAACGATTCTTAAACTATGAAATGGCTTATTATCCATAATTTTCACTACTGACCATCTCTGCCATGAAACAAAGTGCAAAGGGCTTAAATAAATGCTAAAAAACTTCAATTTAATTTATTTTCGAAATTTGAACAAATTTTCATGGGATCCCTGTGCTTTTTTAAAAGATTTAAATCAATAATTTTCTTCGTTTAAAATAAAATCAAAATCATTTTAAAGATAAAACATTTCCAAGTCACATTCTAGACTTCAGGTGTTGTTTTAACTCCATTTTCGCCACAGCTTCCATATGCACTTCGTCCGGTCCATCAGCAATTCGTAACGAACGTGCCAACGCATAAAAGTAGGGCAGCGGTGAATCCTGTGAAACTCCCTTCCCACCATGCACCTGAATCGCACGATCAATTACCCGGCAAGCCATTCGGGCAACTACTACCTTGGCCATGGCGATCTAAAATATCCAGGAAAAAAACTTGCATTAAATAAGAAGATTTACTGAATCTTTCATTCAAAAATTTGGAATATTTTCATTTTTATTCAGTTTTGGGAGTTTTTGAAGCAATAGGACGTGATTTCCTGCAAAGATATTCGTCAAGAAAAAAGTTTAATATTCCGGATCATCGTACAAACGAAATGAATGGCTATTCCACGTTTCACCCCCTTTATCAGTTTCTTGTAGAGCCATTTCCTCTTGCTCCTTCACAAAACTCGAAAAAAATCGTAGCGCGCGGATTTTCGATAAGGAAAACATTCGTTCTACAACTAGCAACGCAACAATTTTATGAGACGAATTTTATGAGACGAATGCTCCGGTATAAGAGCGCGTACGTTAAAAGCTTACCAAAGATTTAAAAAAAAAGTTCCCCACTTCTAATTCTTATTTTGATCTGAAGTAAGCACAGAACTCTGCTTAGAAGCAGGTTTGAAAGCATGATTTTCATTGATTGTTTCATTTCCGGAAAACTGAGCATGCGCCAAAACTGGATTAGGCCAGATCTCTCTATTCTATTACATTATTTCCTGTATTATCACACTATGTTTAGTAACAATACAGCAATACCTCTTTTCTAGCAGCCTTGTTACCCATTGTATCTAACATGTAAGCGGCTTTGAGCACCAGCAAGCGTGCTTGGTCGATTTCCATCCTTGATAAACTGATTTGTTCCTGCACAATTCCCTGAATAACCGGAAAACGCGATAAATACTCATGTACTGAAGGTGTTAGTGGAAGGAGGTTCCTCTCCTCTCCTCTCCTCTCACTCCTCTAAGGTTTTATGCTTCGGGATGTGAGTATGAAGTTCAAAACAAATGAGTAATAAGGGTGTCGTAGTTCTAACCTTTTCTGCAAGTCTTTTACCAAATGCAACCCTGTCCAATGCTCGCTCACAAAGAAGCTCGAGAGCACGTTCAGCCAATCCAATGGACCGCATACAGTGATGCAACCGTCCCGGACCAAGACGACCTTGCGCAATCTCAAAACCACGACCCTCCCCTGAAAGGCAAAAATTATCATTGCTTCGCATTTATCAGCTGAATGAACAACACTGCCTGTCATCTGCTATCAGCCAGAGAGTATTCTATTGCTGGGTATCGATGAGCTGAACGAGTCTCATGAATACCAGCCTACGAATGACAGGCAAATACTGCCCGTCATGTGCTATAAACCAGAGAGTATTCTATAGCTTGGTATCAATCAGATGAACGTGTCTCATGAATCTCATTACAAGCCTACGAATGACAGGCAAACACTGCCCGTCATGTGCTATAAACCAGAGTATTCTATTGCTGGGTATCAATCAGATGAACGAGTCTCATGAATCTCATTTTACCAGCCTACAAATGACACACAAACGGTTCTCGTCATGT